TACTTCAGCTGGGTGACTGGGACGGTTGCAAGCTTCAGTACAGTCATCCACCAAGTGAAATAGAATTCTGCCCCGTGTTTACCAAAACCTGTTCGACTTCACTGACCTTATCCAGAACTAGATGATCCCAGGAGCTACGTAGTCCTTTAATACTGCAGGTCATCGTAACAGACAAAGGTATAACATATTAATGATTCCAACTTAAATACGATTTCTCCTCCTCCTCCCATACTTTTTAGAAAAAAGGAAAACCAAATCCAAAACTGGCCCTCCCACTTCTAAACCAGTCACATCCAACCTAGAAACAGTAAAAGATTAAAAGTTACATTCAATTGCTGATTCTATAAACAGTGTAAGTCTTCATAGAAGAGATTCAGAATAGGAGTTGGCTCATCAGCACAGCTGTGTAAATCTGAATAGTAGCACTGACTCATGATGGAGCTGTTCTGGTGAAAATGCAATTAGAGTAAGGCTTTCGATGTTTAATTTTTTAATATTTACTGGTTATAAATCAAAAGACAAATGGATATTGAGACATCAAGGACAATGCCTTTTTTGTGTTAAAGGGCATGTTCTAAGGAAAAACAGTTTTTTGAAAACCTGACCTATTTTCAGTTTGCATGGTTCTTTTAACTGTCTCGCGAAAAGGATGTTTATACAATTTTGTAAAGAAATGTGAACTGTTCCACCCCATTTACATTTCTTTGTTCAAAAATGTCTTCTCCTTGTTAAGATTCCAGCAGGCTAGGAGAAGCAGACATAGCATTTACTTTCCAATTTGAAACCTAAAACCACAATCTCCAGTTCAGAAAACACAGAATGAGTCACAGGAAGGGGCCACTTGCTTGCAAAACTCATTAAAAGCAAGGCAAGGCAAAATGGATTTCCTGTATCAATAAATAGATTGCTGGCAACACATGGAACACCTGACATTGCTAGAGGCTTAAAAACAATATCGAAGTAGCCAAAAGTGAGTTCAATTCCTGAGAGAGGTTATTCTGCATCTGCCACACAATCCTCAATAACAATAGCAATCTCAGTTCATCAGCGTACTTAAGCATGTGCTTACATTCCAGTGAATGTGCTTAAGTTCCAGTGAATTTAATGGGACTTAAGGATATTCTTAAATACTGCACGAATTAGGCTTACAATGAATACACATATACATGTTACAGAGCTATTTCAGAGTTGCAGGTTACAGCAACTCTAAAGTAGCTGCAGTTTTCTGATTCCATAGAAAAATAAGCAGTATTGTATTTCAGCTTTAAACACAGCTGCATGTGCAACTTCCCTCTGTTATTTGCCATACTCTGAGACAAGTGAAAAATAGACTTCTAGATCAATTTTGTTTTGTCCTTTTGTTGCCATAAAGGACCTGCTCACACACCCATGTGAACCCCCAATGCAGAGACATGCAGGATTTCGTTCAATATGAATATCAAGCCAATACTGGACCTAAACTGGAAAGCTCACTATGGAGTAGATGTACTGTTGGGAAGGAAAGAATCTGCCTATCAGGCCGCAAAGCAGTTATCTAGCCATATGGCGAAGGGTGCTGCAAAGCAGTAACTTTGTCCAGCTGTCAAAAGTGTTGATTGCCCTGTTCTCCTTTTTCTTGCTCTCTTCCTCTTTCCTCTCCTGAACCCATTTTTCTTGCTCTGTATCCTAGCAGTTAAAGTAGCTTTTGCATGTGTTCAAGTAGCTCTTTCCAAGGGTGGGCAAAGTATCTTACAGCACCACTCCTTGTGTGCTGTGATTCAGGGATCTTTGAAGCTTGCAGGGGAATATGTTGTGGGTACTCACCACTTCCAAGGCTTCCTTTGCATAGCTGACATGCTTTATAGCCCAGGGTGATGGGTCTGGACTGCCCTCCAAAAGCATAAGGAACTCCAGTGTGCCAGATCTCAGACTGCCTGGGCCTTTTCACAGCCAGACCTTTTCTGTGGATGCACGCTCACAGAAAGCTTGTTAAAATAGGCTCCAGAGATGTAGGCCTCATATTTTTCAAACTCTTTGACTCACCCTTCGTTTTACTTCTTCCAGAAATCTCTCCAAACCTATGTGGTGACATTAAATAGTAATTCTTTCCAGATCTTTGCATTTAAAAAGGCATAATAGTTTTAACATACTGGGAGGATTTTCTTCTGCAGGTATCAGGAGACAATTTTAAAGGAGTTGCTCCTCTTGAATTTGTTACTGCCAATCTTTTGTTTACAGGGAACTCCAGGAGAAATGAGTATGTTCTTTCAAGGTCTAATTTGCAAAAACAAAAGCATCCTCTCCAATTAAAAAGCACCCTGATTTTAAACCCTCACTAGACCTTGAGTACAAATATTTACACAAGACAACGCTTTGAAGACAAGAAGGTGGGTTGGAGTTGACACGTGGTGACTGTGAGCTGGCCAACATGGAACTTCACATGTTTTTGTTTAACAGCGAACTTCAGCTGCTGAAGAACCGTATCGACCTCAAATATCTTTGTTTTTATATCTTCAACTCAAGGCAACCTGGCAGCATTACTGTGGTTATAGTTAGCTTGCTCAGCAAATCCAGCAGAGGGAGCACAAAGCATTTCTCCTTGCTCTTACAAACAGCTGCAATTCCCTTTTCTTCCTTATTTCTCAGCAACGCAATCACAGAAGTATTTAAAAAATGTTGTATGACCCGCACATTACAGCCTAGTTCTGGCCCACGGATGTTAGTGTCAACATTCCTATCAATTTCCCTGAAGCCTAACGAAACCCTTATGTATCTAGGTCCTCATTCAAAACTGATGAAAAGTATACACCCAGGCCTATCTTTTCATCCAGGATGCAAGGGAAGGGGGAAACAGGAGTAGTTATAAAAAGAGTTTCAGGCTCCTTTACAGCCTTATAGTTCTAAGGCAGGACAGGAATCTCACTAGCTCTCTGGAGAAAACTAGTTTATGGTTGATCTAATTGATGCCTGAATGACCCTGACTTCAAAGTACTATTTGTGGAATAGCGGGAGCCCAGAGGTCTCCTGGCCAGGCCACCTTCAGTGGAATTTTCCCACAAACTTCAACAAGCTTTAGAGAAGGCTCTCTTTGGTATGCTACAAATATTAGATGTATCATAGTTTCATAGTAGGTAGGGTCGGAAGGGACCTGAGCAGATCATCAAGTCCGATCCCCTGCCTTGGCAGGAATGAGTACTGGGGTCAAACAACCCCGGCAAGGTGTTCATCTAACCTCCTCTTAAAGACCCCCAGGGTAGGAGCCAGCACCACTTCTCTTGGAAGTTGATTCCAGATCCTAGCCGCCCTGACAGCAAAGTAGCGCCTCCTGATGCCTAGTCTGAATCTACCCTTTCCCAGTTTGTGACTGTTATTTCTAGTCACTCCTGGTAGTGCTCAGGGGAACAGGGAGTCCCCCAATGCCTACTGGTCCCTCCTGACTAGTTTGTAACAGGCCACTAGATCTCCCCTCAGCCTTCTCTTGTGGAGGCTGAACAGGTTCAGGTCCCTTAGCCTCTCCTCGTAGGGCCTGCCCTGCTGCCCCCTGATCATGCAGGTGGCCCTCCTCTGGACCCTCTCCAAGTTATCCACATCCCTCCTGAAGTGCGGGACCAAGAACTGGATGCAGTACTCCAACTGCAGCCTGACCAGTGTCACATAGAGGGGGAGCCTCCTTGGACCTGCTTGAGATGCACCTGTGGATGCATGACAAGGTGCAAGGCGCGGTTGGCCTTCCTGACCGCGTCCCCACATTGGCGGCCCATGTTCATTTTGGCATCAATAATGACTCCAAGATCCTTTTCTGCCTCTGCACTGACGAGAAGGGAGCTCCCCAGCCTGTAGGTATGCTGCTGGTTCTTCCCCCGCAGGTGCAGCACCTTGCACTTGTCAGTGTTGAAACCCATCCTGTTCTCATCTGCCCACCCCTGTAACTTGTCTAGGTCCGATTGCAGCCTATTCCTCCCTTCTAGCGTGCCCACTTCCCCCTACACCTTAGTGTCGTCTGAACAGGGTGCTTTTTACACCCTTGTCCAAGTTAATAATGAAGATGTTGAACAGTGCAGGCCTGAGGACCAAGCCCTGGTGGACCCCACTGCCCACATCCCTCCAGGTTGAATAAGACCCGTCCACCACCACTCTCTGGGTGCAGCCCTCCAGCCAGTTAGCGACCCATTTGACTGTGTAGGTGTCGACACCACAGTCCCCTAGTTTTTTAATGAGAATGGGGGGAGAGACAGTGTCGAAGGCCTTCCTAAAGTCCAGAAAGACTACATTCACTGCTACAACTGCATCTAAGGATTTTGTGACCTGGTCATAGAAGGCCACCAGGTTGGTCTGACAGGACCTGCATCTAATGAACTCATGTTGGGTGCCCCTAAGCATAATCTCCCCCGCTTGCCCCTTGCAGACATGCACCAGGATAATTCTCTCAAAAAGCTTAACTAGGATCAAGGTAAGACTGACTGGCCTATAGTTTCCTGGGTCCTCCTTCCTCCCCTTTTTGAAAATGGGAACTATATTGGCCCTTTTTCCGTCCTCTGGCACCACACCAAAGTACCACGAGTGCTCATAAAGCCGTGCCAGGGGTCCTGCAATGACCTCTGCTAATTCCCGCACCACTCTGGGGTGGAGGTCATCAGGATCAGCTGATTTAAATATGTCCAGTCCCTCCAGAAGTTCCCTGAATAGGTCCTTACTGACCCTAGGCATGGGTGTGCCTCCCCTGGGTCCTATGGGGGTCCCAGTGTGGGGGGCAGGGGTGACCCGGTCCCCGCTCAGAAAAATGGAGGCAAAGAAATTGTTAGATAGGTTAGTTTTGTCGTCTGGTGCGACAACCAGATTTCTTAACGTGTCTTGCACAGGCCCCACGTTACCCATGTCCCAGTGGGTAAACCTGATAAGAGACAAAGCAATTAGCATTGGAAACATAAATGTCACACTATTCTTCAAAATGTCTCCAAAAACACAGGGCTAGAATCAAAGCCTTGAAAAAAACCACTCATGACATGAAATTTCAGAAAATTATTTTTCATCATTTGGTATTTATTATGATTTTTTGTTTGTTTTTTGCATTCAGCACATCAAAACAAGGTGTTACAATGACTTCCATCAATGCAATAGCACATACATATACAGAGCAAATGCTGTATACAAATAGACTGAAAAATAATTATCTAAATCTAAAAGTAAAAAAAATGATCTCTACCTCCAAAATTATGTTAATCTTTACATAACTAACATAACAACTATGGACCAGATTCTATTCCACCTATTCGGCTAGGAACAAATGTTGCATTTGTCCCAGGATATGTTGCACCTGTGTTTGCTCTAGAACAGAAAACGCACAGGATTGCTGTTTATAAATATCACCCTTCCAATCAGGGCTTAGTGAGCAGCTGAATGAACTGCCACTTTTTTGCCATTGATTCAATGATGCTATCCTGGGATAACCATTCAGACACACTTTGTGGTGTCCCAGGACAAACTCAGCATTTCTTGTACCATGAACCTCTTTACAGCTTGTCCCAGAACAACAGACATGAATGTCTGAACAATTTCACTTTTGTCCCAGAGAAACCATTTTCTCCCAGGACAGTGATGTCTTTTTGCAGCCATAGGCACTTAAGTGCACTCACGCCCCATGTGCAATTTTATTCCACACAGCTCACGTTCTTTAAAAACTGTGAATGGAAAAGGTGAGTAGCTACTCCTCCTCATCACTGGCTTTTTCTGACTCTGCCTTAAGGCTCATATGATATTGTGCTACAAATGTAGGTGAATAAAGGGATTTTTAGGGACTTGAAAAGGGTGGAACAGAATCATATTTAGGTGTCTAAGTCCACTTAGACCTTAATAAATAGAATAGAATCTGCCCCCCTGTTAGCCTGCTTCTCATGCGACACTGCTAGAGCGGCATGATCACCCGATCCATGAAAATAAATATTAGCTCACTCCTCACCGCTGCATATTCTAGTTTATTATATAATATGTTTATTATATAAATAGAATACATAGTGGTCTGTGTATTTCTAGTATGTTAGCAAACATATTCTCTCTATAACAGAAACCAGCATTACACTGAAAGCAAAGTAGTAAGATTTTTCTTTCACAGAAAGAGTAAGAATTCATTAAACCATTTCATTTTGTTCTTTATGAATTAACAAAGCAATTTAAAGATGTGTGCATAAAATTGCTCAGCCATCAAAACAAAACATAATGTACTTTTAGAAAACTGTATATTTAAAAATAAAGCAATATCTGTCTTGAGAACAGGCTGACCGATTTTTTAAGCTGTTCTCATGAGCCAATCTGATAAGTATTAGCTAGCAGTGAAACAAATTTGCATGTGTTTATGCAACAACATTGCAACATCCATATACACAGGGGTACACAGCACTGTAAACAGTAGGATATTCACATCAAAACTAGTAAATTACCTACTCATCACACTGTCATTTGGTTTGCAATAGCAAAGGTGCTTAAAGAGAATGGATTTGTTACTTACTAGTAAATAGACAAATACATTTGATGGCCTAACTTTCAGAGGCATTTTCTCTGGGGGATGCTGCAGCTGCTGCACTTGCTCAGTGCCTCTGAAAATCAGACCCAAAGCACTATGAAGCTAAACTGATGGTTTGTTAACCAAATGACCAGATTTTTTGTGTGTGTAATAATTGCACCAAGATCAGCATTTTCAGGATAAATGCAGATAGGATACAGATAGTGTGTTCATCGAGTAACTCCAATTACGTTAATGAAATGTAATAAATAATACCGACAAAGAATAAAGGTTTGAGTGCGCTTGTACTTAGAGAAGTGACACACTTAATTGGTACCCTGAAGCCCACATTGATTGTCTCTCAGAAACACCATACCAAATCAGTGCAGTTTACAAGAAACAAAGTGTATAGCTTTCTTTTAAGCTGCCAGGCTTGCAAAGTCGACTGGGGTTTAGAAAGTACAAATATGCTCTTTTCTCCTCTTGTTCTAATTGTGACTTAACTGAAGAGGACATTTGCCTCAGCTGGACACAGCTTGCAGTTCTACTGAGTTAAGGGTTCACACCAGGAAGTGAGATTTAGGTCCCTATTCACTGCTGTCCCTCACACTTGTACAAATTATTATTCCACGTATGGGGCAAGGGTGAACTGGCCCCTAGGGTGAGTCTGCAGCACTACCAGTTAGACAAGGCAGATTTTGGAGCCCCAATTTTCCTTCCATTAATGCCATTTGCAAATCTACTGTTGACTTCAATCAGCAGCAGAATTCAACTGTTTCTTTTAAACTGAGCACATCTGGTACAGAGAAGCTGAAGTACAATATATATGGAATTCCACAATACCATGTTCAGTCTTTTTTCAGACAGCAATCTGGCTATAAATGTTTTTTAAAAAGATTTAAATATTTTAAAAAGTACATCTTATTACTAGCTCCAAGCACGTTTCCAGAATTACTTATTATAGGGCCAGTTGAAGTCTATATTTTAAAGCGAAACACTGCAATTGGTTCAGGCAGATTATTTGAAGAACACTTCAAACTGATCTCTTATATTGCTTCCAGCACATATAATTAAATCTTAAGGCTTTCAAATGCAGGTAACAAAACAAAGCAGTACCAACATAGAGTATATGTGCAAATGAGGACAGAAATATGCATGTACAGAACTTAACACAAACAGAAGATTTCATTGTTTCCACAAAGATGTAAGACGCACTGCCCAACACACACATCTTTATTATACAGAATTGGAAAAGGCTGCAAAGTAAAGACATGAGATGCATCCTTAACCAGTAAAGGGCACACAGTAGGCAAAGAAAGGTTTGACAGAACATTTTCTGGTGCTGACAAGTACTTTGAAGCTCTTGGCTCCAGTGGCTCAGTGCAATTGATAGGTGAAATCCTGGCCTTCCTAAAAGTAATGGGTGTTTTGCCATTGACTTCAGTAGCGGCAAGAGTTCAACGATGGGTCTAATTCTTCCACTTTTAAATTGTACCTTAATCCAAATGGACTATTCTTGAAGTAAGGTACTACTCAATGTGAGTAAGGGTAGCAGAATCTGACACTACTTTTTTATCACCCTTACTTTAAATTCACATCATGCATTACTTGTGATAGCGTGATAATGTCAAAATAATACATCAGATCTATAGCTGGTATACCTTCACATAGCTGTGTTGATCTCATTGATTCTTTGCCAATTTGCACCACCTGATAATTTATCCCCATTTTTTTCTCTCCTTCAAACAAAGGAATTTTAACTCGGCATGGGTAGCAACCCCTATATGCATTACAAACAGGTGTCAGGGGGATATGCTATGGCCTCCCTTATTAGTTAGAAGGGATGAGGATGCATCAGATCCCTGTACAAAAAAGATATAGAATCACAGTTCATTTTTGTTTTCACTTGAACTAGCATTTATAGTGCACTTAAATGCAATCTCAACATCATTGCACCTGCAATTGACCTTATGGAATAAGACTGACACAGTTTGAGCATGCTGGGTGTAAAGTTGAGAGCACAACTCCCATTCCCAGTAATATTTGTCCTGATGCATCATTTGGAAATGTGACTTGCAGCCTCCAAAAAGCATTTCTAATGTTGCTCTTAACAAACCGGTAGAATGTTCACAATATCACAAATTCCAGTTGAAGTGTCCAAGGCAAAAACCAAACTATAACCTTCAAATACATGACAGCTAGTTCTTTTAACTAAGGCCAAAAGCCTGGAGTTGAATTTAAGATAAAGATCGATTTATATCCTGGTTTTCAAAAGGTGGTAATGGTTCTCTCCAGTATGTGAACTGACTATATGTGTCAGAACAAGGAAAATCTGAAGAATGGCTTCTTTTCAGCAAAGGAAACACATGATCAACCACCTCACATAGTCTGACGTAGCTGAAAAACAAATTTTCATTTAAATCATCTCTGTTCTTTTTCTTTTGATTTTTTTATTTAACAAGTCAGATTATTTTGGAAGTGGCTAGATGGTAAAGCCCACATAGAACAATAGAAAAGCCAAGAAACAAACCAAGAAGATTTTTCAGAAAGTACTGAACACTCCTTCAGCACAATCCTGTCCTTTTTTAGTAGTCTCAAAAATCACCCATCCCTTTGGCTAATTTGGACAAAAGTATTTATAATATTTCATGAACACAGAACATATTTCAATCTTTCTTCATCAAAAAAGGGAAGAAGTATCAAGTTTATACTCTTTATAAACTTTAAGAGTAGGACAGAAACTACAATGCAGAAACAATGTGAAACTGTTTGCAGTTGATTGGACATGTGGCTGACTGGAGCAGTCAGGGTTCTGTAGTATTCGTGCATATCCTGGTAGAACCTATGTTACCACTGTGACGTATATTGTACAAATGCGCCTCAATAATGCTCCATTGTTATGGAACTGCTCATGTGCAATAGCTTTAGAATGATGACTGTGGGTCAGATCCTAACCCATCTAGTATACCTTTAAGTTTCATTTAGAGGTCCAAGGCCCAGATTTTAATCTCTCTCTAAGATACATAGTGGCATTAAATGCCACTTATATAGAGTTTAGGTCCTAATCCATCCTGTATAATTAACCATGCCAGTTGAAAAGATATGCTCCTGAGGCTGTCTTTGTACTTTGCATTAAATAGCTATTGGGAACTAGGAACAGGAATCATTGCTCCCTCACTTCCAGGGCAGTGCCAGCCTCAATGAACCAAAGTCAGGCTCCCTTTGGTTGCTCTCCTTCAAGCTTCACATATCTTTCCTCTCTGGCTGCCTAATGGCCCAGCTTCAACAGGAGGGATGGAGTTCCCCTCTACCCTGCCTAATTGATAGGATTCTGTTCTAGCAGAGATGTGTGGAGGGCCTAGGACTCATATCTTCCATTCCAGGGCAAGTGCCCTAACTACTAAGCTGTTGGACAAAAGGTGAGTAGCACCGCCACTATTCTCAAGCTGGAAGCTCTTGTAGACAATGTCCTCTTGTAGACATGGATTTCTGGCTATATTCTGGAGAGCTGCACAGAATTCATGTACTTTCCCAGGTGAAATAGGGTTGCAGTGGAGTATTGAATCACATCTGAGCATGTTTTGGAGATGTAATCATGCAGAGAAGTTTAGGTTCTAAAACCTGCATAAAGTGGCACTGTCACTTATGCATCTTTAGACATAGAATGAGGGATCCAGGGCTTAGGTACATAACAGGCAGATAAGATTCTGGACTCAGATATTTTTCTTTTCTACCTGTTACTTTTCTAAAATAAAATTATTTTGAGGAAAGGTTTGCATTAATCTCTGCAAGCCATTCTATGCTCCCCCACACCTGTCCCCTTCTCTTTCAGATACAAAAAACTAACTGCAGAAGGGTTCACATCTCAGGTCTCTAAAAACAGCCATTTTGCCTTGCCAGAGATCTCTGGAACCCAAATTTCACTCTCTTCCTATACACTTCACTCCTGGCTGAATTAAGCAGCTTCCCACTCAGCTGCTTTCTTAAGCACTAAACTTTCCCTCAGCATTGTATAGGAAAGCCCAGCACCTAACTGCAGGCTGATTCCATTAGATCTAACACATCCAGGTAGTTCTGAGGATCTGGACCCTAGTTTCCACTTTTATTTGTCTGGATGCTGTGCCAAAAAATCCAAAGAAAGGAGAACTTTAACGGCAAAATTATTTAAAATCCATATAAAGGGCGAAGGACTCAGGAAATTGCTTTTACTCGTCCCTTAAACTGACTGCATTTCAAATTTCAAGTTGCAGCAAGGCTAGTTTAGGTTAGATATTAGGAAAAAGTTTCTCACTAGGGTAGTAAAGCACTGGAACAGGTTACCCAGAGAGACTGTAGAATCTCCATCCTTGGAGGTTTTTAAGACCCAGCTATGAAAAGCATTGCCTGGAATTATATAGTTGGGGCTGGTCCTGCTTTGAGCAGGGGGTTGGACTAGATGACCTCCTGAGGTCCCTTCCAGCCCTAATTTTCTATGATTCTATGAAAATGACAGTCCTTTAAGTGAATAGATATGATCTTTTTTTAAATTCTAGGCTCAGTGAAGACCTAGTTATTTGAAGTAAAGGATGCTGAGATTTGGATAAAATAGTATTCCATCAATGCAAAGCTTTTGATATAAATATTCAAAAGAAACCTTTGTTAACAGCCAATGGTATAATTCATTTCATCAATGGAATTACAGCAGGGGATGAATTGGTCTATGAAACCTTAGAGATAAATGGAGAGATGACTACTTACGAAGAGATGTTGGTCTTTGCATGTTCTTGTACAAGTTCTCCTTTGGGATTAACTGTAAATATTCTATTTAAGGAGACCCCTACTTGCTTGTATGAATAAACATCCTGAACAAAATCAAAAAAAAGGAAAGAAAAGAAAAAAAATAAATTAAAGCTATGATCCTTCCTTTCAACACCATTTTTGTATTCTTTATAAAATATACAGAACAGAAGAATATAGATAGTGGTAGAAATGCTAGTATTAATGGGCACATTACCCTGCATCTGAAGTTCTCTTAACATGTTATAAGAATGAAGCTTAATAAAGTCCTCAGAAAGGAGGAAAATTATACATTTTCGTGGCAATCAAAGAAACAGGAGCCCAGGTTCACAATGGTGGTTCAGATGCCAAAATATCTCTGGGATCCTGGCAGTGGCAACTAGCTTTAGTGACAAGCTCATGCCCAATGAGATTAATAAAATAGGCATTTCTTCACCTGTCTCAGCACATATGCTCTAAACATGTCTAACCCCACACAAAACATGGAGGAAAAAGTCATGCCAACCACCTTTTTCCCATTAGCCTAATGGTTAGGACATTCTTCCTTTGCCTGAGAGGACTTGAATTTACATCCACCTCCAAGAAGAGCGCCCTCACCTTCAGGCTATGGGATATTGTACTGTGCTATTCTCTCAATCTCTCCTGTTAGACCTGTTTCACTTTGTATCTATACATCTATAAATATTCACTGGGCTAGAGATAATGAGAATGATTCAAAAACCCATGAGTTATAGCCCTCATCTGGATAGGGGAGACCTATGCTAGTAAATATTTAATTATTCATTCAAAACGGAGCAGCTTAATTTAAATGGGAATTAGATACTTAAATACCTCTGAAGATCGAGGCCTTAGAGGGCACCTCTACACGTGCGTGTCACCTGCTCCAACATGTTCTAATTAGAATGCATGGGAGCAGACAATTAATTGAGTCTGCTGCAGCATTCTACTTAGAAAACTCCAGCAGCCTTGCCATCATATATATTCAGCATCCCTGTATTTCAAAATGGCAATGGGGTGCTTTACCTAAAGCACATTTGACGAGCTTTAGTTAAAGCATCCCTACCTCCATTTTGAACCATGGGATGCTGAATACATGAGGCTCTGAGGTCATTTCAATTAGAGTGGCTCCCAAGAGCTGCTCTAATTAAAATGCCCTCCTCTCTCCCCACCCCAGAGCACATGTGAAGACACCCTAGAGGCCTAAATCTTCATTGACTTTTGACAGCATAATTCTGCTTCAACTTGCATTACTGTGCTCGCATGTAGTTCAGTGGGTTTGTGCTAGTATGCCTAAAAGTAGAATTTGGACCTATATTTCTAATGGTACCAAGGCAACTTATCACTTTCAGTGTCTTCAAGTAGATTGAAGGATTTTAAATACAGTCAACCACTTGTGACTACTCTCTCTGCTACTTTATGAAAATGCTTACTGCTCTTGTCTTCCCTTCCCTCTCTCTATTTAGTTACCTGTTGCATATCATCACAAGCCTAAACTGTGGGGTCTTGGAAGTAGGGACTGAATTTACATTATGTACTTGTACAGAGCCTGAAAAATGTGGCCCTAATTCCTATGCAGGGCTTTTGAATACTAGTGCAATAGAAACAGTAAATAAATGACATTCCATACATTGTAAGAAAAATACCCTCAACTATCACTTACGGCAGGTCTGTTTCCAAAGGCAGCATAAAAGGGCTCTATGTTAGGATAAAACAAATTTTTTATGTCTGTCAGACACTGAACTTTAAATTTTTCTGGCTTCTTCTCTATCACTTCCCTAAAATAAAGAAAACATGAGATTTCAGAAGTGCACAAAAAATAAAACCTGAGCAATATCCTTTTTATTTTGTTCAATACATTTCGCTTAACCAGTTTCCAGGTGTGGGGTAGAAGAAAAGAAATCCCCAAACCATAAATCTTTATTTGGAAGTTATGACTCCTAAAACCTTTCCTCAAATTTACAGAGATAAAGTCCCTGAAAAGACCACACTTATTAAAAAAATATGTGGCTATTAAATACAGATAGTGAATTATAAAGAACAGTTTCTAAGAGAGAGATTTATGGTTTGTGCAATATAATAACATAAACTCTCTTCCTGAAAAATGTTGAATGATTCAATAGATGATATTATTCTTACCTACACATTGTTTAGCTATGCTGCCATCAGGATTGCAATTTCCGTATGTACCAGATGAGAAGGACTATTTACAGTTAACCTGTTTCTGCAGGGTTGTTCACCCACCAATAACAATGAGCAGAAAATAAGGACAAAAGTTTCTATTTCTCTTTAATTCATTACAGAGTAATGGACAGAGGATCTAGCTGCAACCCTTTGACAACTGCATCTCCTGGCAAAGTGTGGCACATCTGGCACTCCGGAAACTCCTATAACATAAAGGGAATCCTTCATGGTGCAGAGCTGGTGCGCCTTCCCCAGATGATCCCCTAAACAGAAGTGCATTCAGGAAGGCTGTCAGGGTATGGCTGGCACAGTTTTCTTACACTCCAGCCATTCCCAGCTGTAGTGATGGGCCCTATGCAGAAAAGTGCAAACTAAGGCAACCTTAATGTTTTAATGTGTGTCAGGAGTTGAATCAATCAATTTCCCAGATCAATTTAGGATAAAGAAGGAGCAACAGGGGAGTAAAACCACCTTTTCCCAACCTACCAAAGTTACAGGCTCAAAGAGCCTGTAAAGTTACAGTCCAAATCATTTCTATTTAAATGGCACCCATGAGAATCATTTGGAGCTGAACCAAAGTCCCTAAAGGTTAAAGCTACCACTAAGAATCCCCTCCCCGCAGTCACTCCTTGTCAACATGTGCCACTGATGCTCTGACTGTACATGTGGGGACAAGGACCAAATATCTAATACATATGCAGAAAGCAGGAGTATAATGATAACCCCACCAAGAGAGAGTAAGGTGTAAAGTAATGAAAACTATTTTATTGCAATCCAGTAAATCGGTCCAAGTACAATAGTTGGTGTTTCCAAGGTCTCCTATATTTAGAATACAATGTGTGAAATTGACTGACACATTTTTCAAATGTTCCCCAATTTATAATTTTAATGGAAAACTCCTATCACAGCTGCACTTACCCTACAATATTTGCAAGAATCACTTCACTGAAGTAGGACACACATGTCAAAAGCTGAGTTATTTCTTCCTCAGACAGGTTACATTCAGTTTATTATACGTCAACATGTCTTTATAACATATCACAGTTAAGAGAATATGTTAACTTTATTTTTACATGAAACTGAACGTAATATTTTTGTAAGCAGCTCTTTGAAAACTGTATATAACAAGTGGAACTAACAGCAGTCACCATGAAGTCAACAGGTGGTATCTGTTGGCAAGTATTGAATTTTTAATAGTTACCATTGCAAAATGAAGCCTGTCTTTAGCAAACACCTCAGGGACAAATAGATATTGGTTACCTAATACAGACTGGCCTTTAATTAGAATCTGCACCAACCCCTAATAGAAATACTGCTAATAAATTAAAGTGGACAAATAAAATCAAGATATCTAAGTACAAAGTTGTGAATGTTTTCATTGGGTATGAACTACAATTATATAAATACCTGTGAAAGGCTGAGAACAAGCTGCTTGGACTTAATAGCACAGGTCCCTGAGGTAGTACTGTCCCTCGTTCGTTGACCCAATGTAAATATCCTCTGGTCATGTCTGCCATTCCTATAGCACGTGCTGAGCAGTACAGAAATTTATATCCATTTCTATTAAAGAAAAAAAAGAAGCAGTCACTGTAATTATAAAGTAGATAATAGCAAGTGTGATGGTCTATTTATCCATGAGATAAGCTATGACTGTTAGTGATCTTTATCTATATAACCCATTTGGACTGTAAGGACTTAAGAATTATTTCAAAACAGTAAAAACACTAGGAGAAAGAGCCTCAAATGGTGATGTTCTGTAGTGCTCCACTATAGGCATATCTACATGTGCAATTAGTGCAATGCAATAAACCCTGGTGCAGTTTGCACCAGAGCTTATCACTCCCAGGTGCTGCATTTACACATGCGCCTGAGACCACAGGACACTGAGCCAGATCAGAGCAGCCCTGGTTGGCAGGGGACCTGGAGGGGCAGGGGGAGTCACTCTTGTGCCCCAGCCAGCCCCGCCAGTGTCTACACATGGGTTGCTGCACACTAAATAACACTGTTGTAGGAAAGTACTTGTGTTTACAAGTACTAACATATGATGGAGTTAATTAGTTTACTGCCGCCTAATAAGGCTGCATGTGTAGACACTGAGGCTTTACTACAGATCCAATTAGGCAACTCCATAGTAAGCATCTTGTGTAGATGTGCTCTGTAGTTAGGGATTTACCAACATAGGATATTCTCATCTCTGTGGTACTTGTACAACCCCCAGGTAAAATCTGGTCCTATTTACTGGCATTGCACTTCTTATAACTTATTGAAATATTTTGTACTAAGAAAAGAAAAGGTAGCCAGTATACAAGGTTATATCAATCTTCTTTAAATTTAACCCACAGTAATCCCTCTGGGACTTTGTGATATCAAAGGATGAATTTATATGTGCATGCCACACTTTCCTTGAAATATTATATCTTGAGCTTCAAATTCAGTCATATGAGGAAATCATTTCTGGATTGGTATTGAAATAAATGTTTCAGCAGAAGAAACCGAGCATTTACATGCTACTGGTTTTCAACTTTTGAGGCCTTCAGTTTGATTTAATAGCACCTTACCCCATTTATCCTGTAATGGAACTACCCATGAAGTGTTCCTCAGTGCTTGTAAGGGCGTTAAATATGGCCATTATAGATTTATAGTACCTGTTTATAATATCTAACTGCTGTAATAGTAACACTATTTATATACAACAAAACTCACATTTATTTGACCCTCAGTTTATGGCCCTAACACCTGCCTACAGCAGTTGACATAAAAACAAAAGAATTACAGTTAAAAACATTTCTTCATTTCTTTTTCAAATACAATTAGAAGATTATTCATCTTCCTAAACAACTCTAACCACATGATCTTCCAGTCTGCATTGTGCCTTGAGTAATAATTCATCCTTATCCAAAATATTGGTAAAGTTAGGCCTGTATCTCTACCGTTATTTAAATTACGTCATACATAATTCAGAGTTCATCATCCATACAAAAGAACAGTAACAATAACAAACCAATCTTAACGCAACCCTATCACACAGAACAAACCAAATCAACCATTTGTACCATTGTGCATTACACCTGAAGATCTTTAAAGTAGTTAAGAGTAATCTGAATGTGTACTATGAACTGACTATGAAAGAACACAGCATTGAAGAAAGCAGGAATGCATTCTGAATAAACGAAGAATGCTGTGTCACCTTTCTTTTTGTAAAAAATGAAACTGAAGCAACTTTGTGAATATTAGAACATGAGGAAATATGCCTTTTTATCCAATACTATATCACATCATCACCGTGCATGTCCAGCTACCAATTTAAGCTTCCTGTAGCCAAAACTGAATTATTAATCTTTCATTTCATTCATTGCTTTCTTAGTTACTGTGGCTGTAATCTGCTCTCTTTGTTTTTGGCTATCCCTAGATGCACCCAAGTGATTCTACACATACTGTATTTACTCAAATATGAGATTTTTTTGCCCCCAATCAGCATGGAGAGAAAAGCCATCTCATATTTGCATACAAGGAAATCTCATTACATTCATTAACTCCTGACAAACACACCCAATTGCAATCATGAGTGTGAATTAGCTGATGGACCCTTTGTAGGGGGAACTACAGTGGGGAGGGTTGTATCTGGAGTACACACACATACTGAGCAAAACTGAGCTGTGGTGACACCACAGCTTGAAATACTGTTGACTCTGCTGGGGTCCAGCCAAATGAACTACACTGTAACTCATGAGCCTTTTGGCTTTAGACTAATATCATGCATAGTTTGTACTATGTATAAGTAGATATGAAACAGTTGCCTAAAAGTGAGTTTATGGAGTACCTCTAGTAAAACTTGCAACAGTTTCAAAAAAGGTAAAAATGCATTAATTCCAGATGAACCAAGACTGTGAGTGCATGTAGGAATTTGCCTATATGCAAATTACTACAAGCATGCTTATTTCAAAGTCAGTGTTTTCAAATTTGCCCTTGCTTCCACGACCTCAAGGAGAGCAGGGTCTACCAGTCAGGGGTGGGGGCAGAGGCTGCAGCAGGAAAGAAGTTAAGCAAGGGAGGAGGGCAGGAGGACTCCCTGACCCCGAGATTCACTGTCTCTGCTGTACCAATAGGAAGGAGTCAAATTCAAGACAGACTTCCAATAATTTGATTCTATACCTGGAAAATTATGACAAATGTATAAATTTTCCATATATGGAATCTAATTATTGGGGGGGTTGTCTTATATTTGGGGTATTCTTATGTTTGAGTAAATAAAGTATTTCTTCACCACACAGTTAGCTTGGGTGGTCAGCATCCAGGCCTGAGCCCTTGAGTTAACCTGGCCAGACTAGTTTTCTCACAAAAAAGCCTCATCTGCCTTTCTGTATTTTTGCAATGACTGCACTTGCCCATGTGCCTGGGGCCCTGTCTCTGTGCTGAGATATTCTAGGATCTTCTTCTGGTTGTGTCAATTGTGAAAGAATTTCTCTGCCCTTCTGAGGGAATTCTAGGCAGGGCTTTGAAGAACTATCCTCATTCAAGATACTTTTCCTATGCAGGCTATTCCCAGATCAATCTAAAGACCAGGCCATGTTTTAACCCATGCCCCTAACCATGCAAAGGAGTTCAGAAAGCAAATAATGACATTCAGGTTGTATATGAATGATCAGGAGGTTCTAGCCAACATGCATAGATCCACAGACTGAACCAGAGCAGAACTATACCCTGAACAGTGCTATTTCCTCCTGTACAGCATCACAAATCTCCATCTTTTTCTATTTGCACAGACTGCTGAAACTCTTGCCAAGGTCCTTTTGCTATAGGGAGCTGACAGACATGGGAGGGAAAAAAGTAGTGCTTTACCAGAAGAGGCATCACATCAATTTGACCCAACTCCCTAGCATCTTATAGCTCATGCGCTTCAGCAAGGCTTTTTGGCACTTTTATCTAATAGCTAATTCAATTAGCTATCAGACAAAGGTGCCAAAAAGCCCTGCTGGAGCATATGAGCTATACAGACACTGAGGAGCTGGGTCAAATGCATGCAATGCCTCTTCTGGGCATGCTGTGCGCTCAGTGCAGGGGCACGCTGAGCTGAAAGTTAAGTGCTGTTTGTTTGTTTTTTCCCACATCTGTAAGCAGCCATATTTTATTACTGTAATCTTTTCTCAGATCCTGATGCCATTAATCTTTCTCTCCCATCACCACTTAAAATATCTTAGGAATAGCACTCTGCCTAAAGAAGAGAAGTTTGAGAGGGGACTTGATAGCAGTTTACCGCTATATTAGAGGTGTGCATCAGGAGCTCGGTGAACTGTTCACTAGGGCATCCCCAAGGAAGAACAGGACTAATGGATACAAACTCCTGGAAGGCTTAATACCAGGAAAAACTCCTTTGCAGTCAGGGTGTCCAGACTGTGGAATAAACTCCCTCCAGAGGTGGTGCAATCACCTACCCTGGAGGTTTTCAAGAGGAGACTAGACAGTCACCTCTCTGGGGTCACCTAACCCCAGTTGTCTTCCTGCCTCGAGCAGGGGGCTGGACCCGATGATCTGCAAGGTCCCTTCCAGCCCCTACCTATCTATGAATCTATGAATCACCTCAGTCACCTCTTTGCATTCCTCCACAGGGCTTCTCTTTACCACTGCATCCAACAGAGACTTCCTGTTCCAATGTTAAAGTTATTCACTGTCTAGTCTGACCATACCTATCCTACTAACTTATTACCAGTGTCAAATGTACTGATATTTATATGGACTATCCTTTTGAATAGTTGCTAAGGTGCATAGAGCTGTGAATAAGCATCTCTTTTTTTGCATTTAAAGTGAAAGAAATAAAATACATATACAATAAAATGCCTTCTAGTAAAGACAACCTGATGTTAGCTACTACACATTTTTAAAGAATGATTTTTACATACACTTCAAGGAATAATCTTGCCAGAGAGTTTCACTGAGAAATGCAGTACAACAGCCTATTCTGTTTGGAGCTCCCATTCAGTTCAATTTTCATATGTGGTATCCGAAACAAATAAGGTGAGATTTTTACAAAAACTGCCTCTTCCTATCAGAATTCAAAGCCCATGTAGAGTTACCCTGGTGATGCTTAAGCTTATCCATGAAGGTGGACAAATATTGCTTTGTCCAGATTCAAAATGGAATCCAAACAGAATTTCATCTAAAACAGCCTGGAATCATAAGCATCTCTATGTGCTTCAACTGATACCACGTATGGAAACAGGAATACAACAAAATATATTGGCACATGTTATATAGTTATATGTTGTACTATATGTAAGGCCTGATTCTATTCTGCCTATCAGGTACCTAAGGTTCCCGGCAGATTTTACTCCCACCAAGCAATGGGTAATATCACTCAGTGAACATATTACACCATATGATCTGCTTCATGTTCAAAAGGCAAGCTTTCCAGGGAGGGAAAAAAGCACCCTGGGCACTTGCTCTGCCACACTAAAAAACGAGGGAAGCTGGAAAGCTGCTGGCAAGGACTGTCATCCGTACCGTCAGCTGTGCTGTAAATGAAAAGTAATTTGGGCTCTCCCTGGGTACAAGTCCTGCTCCCCAACCCTTGTGCAGATCTGGGGAAACCTGTATGAGCAGTAGGGAGAAAGGGAGAAGGGAAGGAGAGATGGAGGGCAGGGGCAGAAACAGCAGGGATCAAATTCTCCAGTGACATTATGAGGTGCTTTTATGTATGTCTGCCTACTCACAGGTTTCCCAAGCAAAAGCTCTATCACCCTGTGTGTAACATGCTACACATTCAAATTAAAGTGCAATAAAATCAAGCTACAAAGACAGTCTACATTTTGCAAGCAACATCCTTGAGATTGGTTCTCCATTTTTATGGCTCTATATCTGACAGTAAATTGCTTGAATGTGTGGCATGTTACAGGTTACTATATGATTAACACATTAATCATATGACAATTGCAATGTATGACAGGGGCCTAAGTGGACTGGGGTACCTATGTGCAATTCTATTCCACCCTAGTCAAGTCATGAAAATGTATTAGTGCATCTGTTTTTGTAATTCACCATAGCCCTTAAGACTGGATCAAAAAAGTAGCAAGAAGGAAAAAGACCTTTTGCATTACCTCTTTTTCAGTAAGGTGAACCGGGTGGAATAGAATTGAACTTAGCTGCCTAAATCCATTTAGATGTTTATTAGGTGGAATAGAATCTGGGTCTTTTCACCATCCCTTGCACAAAAGCATATGTAAGTATCAACTAAGAGTGTATACATGGGGAAATAGTGTGGATTACCTGGAGAACTGTGAATTCACATACTACCTCATGCCACACCAATTGTCCAATGTAGACAGGCCCTCAGGCACTTATCAATTTAGCAAAAAAAGTTCTATGTACCTCCAATGCTTTTAAACAGCAAATAATTCATACAAATGCTAGTCACAATGAATTTCATGGCTGCCTTTGAATTCTATTATTATGCAATATGTCAAACCGAAGCCCAGAACTATTGATAGTAAGTATCCAAGGACGGATGTCCCATTCAACACAGGTGAATGATTTACACTCAAAATTACCAAGTGATACTTAAATTATTCTGTAATCTCCTCACTGAGAAGACTATGAAATAACTTAAAAGAAGATTGTTAGGAGCTTGTGAATGAACTCTCTGACTTGTATCTATTGAAGCTCCCTGCTCTCCAAAAATGTAAATTTCTCTGGCTGCAATAGCACTGCCCATTGGAATTACTGCAGCCTTGTAGGTATGCTTTAAATCACTAAAGAGGAGTCCACCATTCTGCTATCCACAGAAGATGATGGTGCTGTCCCATCATCACATAGTGGAATTTCATGCAATGGAGCTCTTATTCATCAAGGCTTAGCTCTTTTCTGGAGCAACCAGCTATGCTCTTCTTGTTTGAAAGCAAAGTTCAGAATTCAGATCTTATCACTACAAACCAACCAGTAGTCTGTAAATTTTAATCTCTGCAAACACATACATTTGAACTATCCCTTGATAAAAGCACACAGGATGCACAAAAAAAGATTTACTGAATACTCACTGGCTCACTTTATGGTACAATTTTGCAATCCCTTGGTGCGTCCAGTCCTTGCCAAGAGTGGGCAAGATATGGCCTAATGTATCAGACCTGAATAGAGGTGGGGAAAGAATGTAAATGCACTGAAATAATAACTCCCAAAAATATAGTCATATGCAATTTTTATCCTTTTTTAAACAATCTGGAGTGGTATTAATACATGCCCTCCTGCCCACACATTTGATTAGTGGTATGGGAAGGTACTCTTTTGGTTAAGGCAATTCAGTTCCCAGTTCTGCTGTTGTGAATTTCCTGTTTTAGCCTGGAAAGCCACCTAATCATATTAAGCTCTGTTTCTGGTCTTGTCTTCACAGGGAAGTGCAAGTTAGGGTGTGAATTTCCATCCATACCAGAAGTTCCATCCTAATTCCTCATGCAGACTACTGCTCACTGAGCATGACTTTATGCAGTACAACTTGGGAATTCTTAGTTTGGGCTAAGAATATTCACACAGAACATGTCTGTGTGTACAATTAATGTGCAGCAATAAACTTCGGTGCATATCACGCCAGAGTTTATTGCTCCCAGGTACCGCATTTACACGTGTGCCCAAGACTGCTGTATGTTGAGCCGGGTCAGAACAGCCCCAGCTGGCAGGGAGCCCAGGGGGTCAGCCTGCCAACCCATGGCTGCTCCGACCTGGCTCAACATGCTGTGAAGGGGGCAACTTAGGGCACAAGGGTGCTCCAGTGTGGGGCTAGCTGTCAGGTAGCCCCCACACTAAAGCACCCTCATGCCCCAGCCAGCTGGGTCAGCATCTACATGCGTGCTGCTGCACAGTAACAACTGCACAGGTACTATCCTACAGTGGAGTTTATTAGTTTACTGCACCCTAATAGGGCCACACATGTAGATGCTAAGATTTTACTGCAGAGCTAATTAGTCTCCTCCACAGTAAACATCTCATGTAGACATGCCCACAGTGTATTAATGTGGAATAGCTGGAGTACCTGTTTTCCTATGTTGACAAGTCCTTGGTTCACCATCTTTAAAATAGCTATACTGATTATAGCTATTTTATAGGAAATAGCTATACTGATTTCACAGATATTTCTGTGTTAAATGTAGGAAATGTATTAATAATTATAATACAAAAGTATCCAGAGCCTGATCCATCACAAGGGGTTCCAGTGTGCCAGGCACTGCACACGCACATATTTGGACAGTCTTATAAAGCCAGAATGAAGTTTTTAAGTCCATCCAATTTACCTCATGGGTATGCTGTAACAATTAATTCCTTAATAGGTGAGGATGCTATTATGGATGACACCCATGAAAAGTCTACAGGCAAATAAGACAGAAGATCAGCATGCTATGTACTAGATTCTGTAGCACTAAGAATCCAGTCCATGTGGTTTGGCTCTCTATATTTTTTTAATTCACTCTGAAGCACAATAAGAAAATGCAAACTCCAAATATTATGATTCTTCGCCCCAGTCATAAACTTATAATGATTTCCTGGGCCCAAAGGAGAACTTGCCTGTGTAGATAAAGCCTTACCTTGTGATAGTTCCATCAATGTCAGAAATAATGACCTTTTCATCCCAGTTCCAGAGGTAGATTGTGCCTTCACAACGGCAAGTGCCTTGATATTGTGTTGTAACACTGAAGGTCACGTCATTGGGGCCATTCTTAAGCTTCAGGCTTTTCTGCAAAATAAGATTATTGGTAAGGTCAAAATGTGCTTCCAAGACAGAATAGCATAAACAGGAAGGAGTGGATTTTGAGTGCAATGTATTCATCCCATTCCTGTTGATGGGACCTTCTGAAAAACATTAACTGAGCTCAGCCATAATGGTCATGTAGTATCCTTGATTCATCAGAACAACTAAAAGCAGTGGATGCATCTACATGAGACATTTACTGTGTAGTTGCCTAATTAGTTCCTCAGTAAATGTCTCAGCATCTACACATGCAGCCCTATTAGGCCACAGAAAACTAATAAACCCTGCAACAGGTCTGTACTTGTAAATACAAGTACTGTTTTGCTGCAGAGTTTTTTCATGTGCAGCAACACACATGTAGGCACCTACCAGGCTGGCTGGGGCATGAGGGTGCTTCAGTGTGAGGGCTGCCTGCCGGCTAACCCCACACTGAAGCACCTTTGTACCCCAGCCAGTCCCTCCGCAGCACCTTGAGCTGGGTCAGAGCAGTCCCAGGCCTCCTGCCAGCCAGGGCTGCTCTGACTTGGCTCAATGTGCTATGGTCCTGGGAATATGTTAACACAGCATGCCTGGGAGCAATAAGCTCCAGCACAATATGTGCTGGAGTTTATTGCATCAAATGAATTGCAAGTGTAGATGCACCCAGTAAGGAGTCCTGCTTTACATGGGAGGAATGAAATAGCCTGCAGTATTCAAACATCAAAAAACAGGCTTGGCATAAACCCCCTGAAAAGCTTCTGACCCTGAAAAATAACTATCCCTGGCTTTCAGCTATAGAAAAATAACCTTCTCTGTCTCTTAAGACAAAACTATTTCTATTATGATTACTCAAAATGTTCTTTCGCTAAACAACCAGTGACTGATTGGGCTGGTAAATGCTATATTCCTCAGCACTGTTTACTGATAAAAATTAATTAGCTGTGCAAAGATGCGAGAAGTTTTTCCTAAGTGGCCAAATTTCCTAAATCAAATAGTGCTATACCAGGCTTGCACAGCAACAGCACTGTTTGTTGTTTTCAGTCATGATATCTAAGTGGCCTGAGCCTGTTTCCCTGAAATTAATATTCTCCTGGCCACACTTCATTAAAAAAAAACACGTCTTTCAGCAGCTGCTAACTTGAAGAATGTATTTGAAAGGATGTGTTTGTCTACCTGTGAGAGAGGGAAAGGGAGAGACATGTACGTGTGCACACACACATAAACACATGGGTGAACATGTGTACATCCATTATATGCATATGCACAGGATGAGATCCTCACCCTTAGTGAGTCCCCTTTGGCCAAGCAAAATGGCTGGAGGGCACTAAAAGCCCTGTTTCCAACTGAGGGAGAATCTTCCCAGGTGTAGGACAACCATAATGCTGCTCTCCAAGGCCCTCCTACAGATTGCAGCATAATGAAATGCTAGTGGCAAAGTTGGAGGCAAAACAAACATATCAGGGAAAGACTGTCCAAAATTGCACTTTTGGACAAAAATAATATGTGTCTAAGAAATTTCATTCAGTTCAAAATGTCATTCATTCCAGACTCCTAGTCTACTGTCCTATATTGTAGATCACAATGCTTCCTGTTGGGATACCTCTGGAATTTGTAACCAACCAGAATGAAGTTTTTAAGTCCATCCAGTTTACCGCACAGGTATGATGAGACAGGCCATTCCTGTGCAGGTGTCAGGCCACAGTATAGCTGATCTGGAAGATGCTGTAACTCAGAGAGGCCCCAGGACTGCTTAAATTTGACAAGGGTCTCTTCAGCCCTCAGGGCCATCCAGGATCAGGAGGCCTTATGATTGCTGTTACCTTTACCATATTCTCCTGGACTACTAGTTGTCCCACACCACACACAGGCACCATATGGATTCTTGCCCACAGTATTATTAAGAGCATGCCCGTGCTCCTGATAGTTGAGCCTTGGCCTTCAAGGCCCATTTGGTTACTTATTTATATGACTAAGTACACACTTTAGAATGTAACTTCTGGACTCCCATTTCCAAAACCTCAGACACCAGACCTGTGAAAGCAGCATCCCTCACAAGCATGACATTTACCTGTTAATTTTAAAAGAAAAACAAATCCTAATATTTAGTAACATGCGGCAGTAAATAAAAGCAATGTGTTTATAAAGCCCATGTTAGCCTGAATATCTACATTGCTCCTGATGTATTAGAGATGTGTGCATTGCATTGTGTTCCTGGTAAGAATATAAAAATAACTCACAAGCTGGTCAGAAGTGAGTCGAAGGGTCTTCTTGTAACTGATTCCAGACAATAATGAGAGGTGACTTGAGTTTGTTTGTAATGACCCGATATTTTGTTTGGCAGCTCTAGGGTCTTCATCACTTGAAGAAGATTCATCCTTTATTCTGGAACATTGCACACAGGGAAAATGATGCTATCATCTCTCAGTAAATGCATTTGGGTGACCATTAAAAATGCATTAGCACTGAATCACTGAATTAGTCAATTGATTCCCTGTTCCTAAGCACCGTCTCTCAGGAGGTCATTTACAATATGGCTTAAAATATATCAATGAAGTGCTGAATCCTCATTCATGCATGCTTCCTATATTCATGCTTAGTTTCTCCTAGTCATTCACTTGTCTATATGCTCGTTCTCATCACTTTAACTCAGACAAAAATTAATATGCCATGTTGACTTGTAAAAAAACCTCACGCAAGGTTTGAAAATCTGTTAGTTAATGTAACAGGAAGCTTTATTCTTACAATAAACAAAAAGCAAAGAACTGATTTAGTCTAGGAATGACATAGCAATTAAAGAATAAAACTGTTATCTGACTAATATTATTTTCCAAAGGAAAATAGACTGCACTGTTCATTCTCTGAATACTACAAATTTTCGCCAAAAAATTATTCTTTTACTGACCATTTTAGCAAAATTACTCTGTTCAGCACACTGAATTGAAATGCCTGAAAAATTTTATTCCTGTGCATAGTATTCCTTTCACTAAAAAGCTATTTTTTTCAACAGCAAATGTTTTTAGAAATCTGTCAAGAACTTTTTTTTTTTCCTCACAGAAGAAAGCATTTCAAAGGTAAACAGAGTTATCACATTAGGTAGCAGCCTAAAATATTCTTAACTCCCTGCCAATCTGATCTTTAAAATACCAGCCTTCACATTCCTTTGTTTCCATCACAGTTGGGTTATGCATGGTGTTGGGAAGCCCAGACTATAGTGTCAAAGTACCACAGGTTGTGATTAGCAGATATTAAAATACAGCCTGCCGAACTATGTGGTGTTATATCAGGTCCCCAACTGCTACACACTGTTCCACCGGCCATAAAGTGCTTGCCAGCAACATTTTTTTTCCTGACATGTTTCTGAAGTCTGTTACAATTCAAACAAAGAACAGCGATTAAGGAGTGAAGTTTGCTTGACGTTCTAATCCTATTTAAAGCTCATTTTAAAACCACCGTCTAAGAGACAACAGGCCTAAATATCATGTATCCTATCTAGTGAAGAAATTATCCTTTCTGATCTACTCAGTGGATCTCACAAATTTGAGATAGCATATAAGTAAGGCACCAGCCTTTGTGCCAAACATTTGACCTGGCAGTCTTTAGTCTTCTAAAGAACAAATAGATCCTGATGCCTGCTAGCATTCCTGGCAGACAATCTCTCTCCCCCAGACACCATGAGGAGTGATGAAAAAGTATCAAAAGTCCTTTTTTAATCTTTTGCGTGAAAAAGGATTGCTTTTTAGTTGATTTAAACTGTAGAGACTGTATTAGAAGGTGGTTCTTACTGTCCCCTTCTGGTCTGGCAGATGTGAATGTGGACAGCACAGATATGGGTCCTACTGTCTTCATGGGAAGACCCTATGGCTGAATGCACACCAGTGCATATGTGTATTTTGCGGCATCTCAAAAGTTTGATGATGATGACAAATTCAAATGAGACCAGGGACCTCATTAGGTTTCATAGCACTCCCTGCAGAACTTAAACTTCACTGAGGGGAAAAATCTTTCAAGACCATTATGTCTTGTATTCAAGTCTCTCTAAACCTTCTGAGTCTGAGAGGGAGACTCTTGTCATGAAGTTGCCAACCCAGCTGTAAGCTAGAAATACCAGAACATCTGCTAAAGAGGCTAATTTTACAAACTTAAAGAGTCTAGAAAAGGCCCAGTAAAGTATTGTCCCAAACTTGTCTCTGGGTAGAATCTTACCGTGCTTCACTGACTTTGGCTTGACAAAGAAGAGAATTGTATTGCAGTTAAATATCACAAAAATTAATGAATTCTAGAGTGCAACAGATTACAACTCTCAAACATTTCATTATTGCCTCAACTCAGTTCAAAGATTTGGAGAATCTTGCTTTCGTTTTTAAGCAGTCTGCTTACTTGGACTATACACAATTTTTTGGTACCTCTTTGTAATGGTCAGCTGTAGTGACTCCTCTCCTGTATTAAGTCCGTTTCCGAGTTCTGGCTTGGTTTCCTAAATCACAAATATGAGAAGTGGTGGATCTATTAGAAGACATATGCTTAAAAGTACAAACCAACTTGCTTCACTTGTGCAGGGAGTCCTAATGATTTCACCAAGACTATACACATTAGAAAAGCAGGTGGGATTTGGCTCTGTGCAGGACAACAGGAAAATCACAAGGATTTAACCTAGGTAAAAACTGCTTCCCAGAGCACTAAAATATTCCAACATATTAAAGTTCAGCAGGAACTAACATGCATCTTTATATGGCAGTTGTATATAATAGCCAGTTTCTAATGGCAAGAACTGGTAGGAATTGTGGGACTCATCCTATTGCCCAGCACTGAGCAGAATATCTATTACCCATATTTCATTCAATAAAGCAATACATTTGTAATATTGTTCCACAGAGTCTTTATAAACTTTAATCCTATCAAATTTCCCCAAAACAAAGCCATCTTTGACAACTTTATCTCAAAAGGTGCAGATTTTAAAATGTTGGGAAGTTTTATCAGCATTAATAATAAAAACCAATGGACAGCCTTACTATAGCTCTTTCTACCTTAATTATAGCTGTCACATAAATGAACGCTTCCAAGAAGAGTAATCTTTTTTAGAGTTCAACAAGTTGCAAAACTATATGGCATGAGAAGTGCTATGGAACTATGCACTTGGAAGAACGATAGCTAAAGTTTACAACAATGATTTTTTCATGTAAAATTAGCAGGTTCTGGGAAGCTTTTTTTCTATCTCATCTCAAGGTATTTCAATACCATGAAAGCCAATGAAAAGAAGGTTTTCACTGCAAGTTTTTAAAAGTATTATGTTCAGTGTAAAAGGGACTAGTGATTGCAATAGCATTTAGACAATTTTTTTAATGTTTATGTAGAGTTCTGAAAAAAAATTAATATACCTACTACTCTGAGATGGTCAGAAGATGGAGGCATGGGGAGTGGCTGTCACAAAATGTGTAAAAACAATGTTTTCATTGTTTTCGTTCACACTTAGGTTGTGTAATTTACAATTTATGACCTAGTAATAAGTATCTTTATTTCTTCAAATATGGAAACAGAGCTATAGAAAGTTTAAGCCAGGTAGCCGAAGGTGAACACAGAGCTAGTGGCTTAATCGGGATAAGAACTCATCAGTTTCCAGTTCCTAGATGCAGGATTAGTCCGTTAGATTATGCAGAAGTGAGATTTTTTTAGACAAATGGTACAGTTAAGGGTCTTATCCAAGCCCTCTAAGGTCAGTGTGAGAGTTTTTGATTCTTTCCTAAATTTTGAATCATGACTTAATTCCTTTCTTGTACAGGTCCTAAATCAGATTGGGTATATAATTATATTTAAAAGCACATTTTTTCTGGAGGATGTTTACAAAAGCACGTGGGATTCTAACATAAGTCAAAAATACACCCTTACCTCTTTTATAGTGCTATTCCTCCCTCGCCATGAAAACCACCATCTTCCACCTTTCTTGGGCATCTTATCCCTCATTATAGATTCCACAGTGGCCTGTGATAAATGGATGTTAACATAAATAATGGAACACAAAAAAAGGGGGAAAGATAACCTAACACATGCAAACAAAAGAAAATGGCAAACACAATATTAACCAATGATAAATAGAAGAAAAGGAAACATACTGTCTGTGGACCATTAAATTTATTAAAGCAAAACTTAATGGTATCCAGAACTGCTCTGAAGTAACTTAAGCATGAATACTTAAAGAGTTTTTTAAAGGAAAAAGAAAAAGAAATATAATCAAAAGGGGGGGGAAAAAGCATAAAGAGGCATTAGTACTGTCTGAAATGGGTAAAAAGAATAGTCTCTAATTCAAGGTTGGTTAGTGAAAATCATAAAAAAGAAATACATAAAAAACACAAGCCCAACATTTTGGAAAAGGTCTTAGGCTTGAAGGGGACAAACTAAAGGTTAGGAAAATAAGTTATTCAGTTTAAAAAATAAACTACAGTGGAAGAAATGCAGAGGCAAGGAGTTGTGTAATCTCTTTTGTTGGACCAACTATATAGTTGAGAGAGTTGCTGGATAAGTTTTCAGGCATCAAGTGCCCTTCCTCAGGTCTAAAAAAGATTTGGTTCCCCATCTATCCCTTTTTCAGACCTGAGAAAGGGCACTTGATGCTTCAAAGTCTGTCTAACAGCTCTCCCGACTATACAGTTGTTTCAATGAGAGTTCCACAAAAAATCCTTGCCTTAGGCACATTTCCTGGACCTACAACACATTAAAGAAGTATTGCTTTTAAGTGAACATGGCTAATGATACATACCAAAAATGTGTATAAACAGTCACTCTCCCGGGATTAATTTAACCCTGGTTGTTCCTGGCCTACTTTTCTCCTGGAGCATCCATTTTTGATCTGGGAGAAAAATCCTGAATATCTGTATACATGTGGTTTCTCCTGAGAGAGCAGCAACTCTCCCAGTAATGACTGAATGTCTGTACGTGGCCTGAATTAAAGAGGGCTAGATATGGAAATTATTTACCAATAACTACAGTGTAGGCAGCAACAGTAAAAACTTTCTTTCAAAACACCCAAATGTGTTGAAATTTGATATGTTATGATCATCTTTGAGGGCTAAAGGATTTACCATTCCTAGGCATCAGTCCATTGCCTCTCTGCTAATACAACAATGACAATATTGTTTTCTACCCTACTTATTTAAGACAATGCCATGTTTATATTAAGATGATGCTCTCTCCTCATTTAAGACAGCAACTTGCTTTCTATTGTAAGCATGATTTTCCCCACTCTCTCCAAATGGGAGTATAAAATTGTAAAGGCTCTAAGTCAGAGGTTGGTAAATATGGCCCACAGGGCAGAGCTAGCCTGCAGAGCCACTGGATCCAGCCTGTGAAGCCAGGAGGCTTTGCCTGTCCTGGCACTAGGCCCAGTCAGCTGGAAATTGCATACATGCTGCTGCTGCTGCTTTTTCCTGCCCCAACTCCCCTGCTACCCAGCTACAGTATGAGCGTGACTGGAAGCTGCCCCACCCCAGCACAGCTCCCCACCAGCTGTAAGCAGTGTCCATGCCACTGCTCCCCACCTCTTCCGAAGACCGTGACATGTAGGTCCAGTTTCCAGCCAGTGGAGAGCTATGCCATGACCAAGCAGCTTCCAGCTACACACAACCCTGATCAAG